TCTCTTGCTTTTCTGTCTGATGGATCTTTCTTCCCGGTACTTGTTTTCCAGTCTGTCGAAATGTCCACATGTAACTGTAACTGTAAATGCCCTTCTAGCAGTTTATTCTCGCGCACATCTCGCTTATAGAAATCGTTCTATTGTACTTGCTTTCTAGTTTTTCGAAATGTCTATATATAACAGTAGGTTCTCTGCTGGCATTTCATTCTTGCGCACTTCTCGTTTATTGGTATTTTTTTCAGGTAATTGATTTCCAATCTGTGTAAATATCTACGCATAACCGTAAGTTCAGTGATAAAAGTCTTTCCTCTCGTCCTTCTCACTTATGGAACTCTCATTCCGGTTTAAATATCTTCCACATAGCAGATTATTCTTTCGCAGTTCTCTCTGATATGTATTCTTTCCCAGTACTTGGCTTCCATTCTGTTGAAATGTCTCCATGTAACTGTAAGTTCTAGGCTAGCAGATTATTCTCTCGCACTTCTAGATTATACACTTCTCTTTCAGCTACTTGCTTTCCATTGTGTTGAAATACCTATATGTAAACGTAATTACAATTATAACTGATTATTCTCGCTAACATATGGAATTCTATTTCTCAGGTAATTGCTTTCCTCTTTTTCGAATTGTCTGTCAATCAGTTATGTGCCATGTGGCATACACGCCGAGGCGATCATGTATCTTTCCATACATATCCCGGAGTAGGTTGCCATTTATTTCTGCGGTAGACCAGTTGCAATCTAAGGCTGTCCTGACATTTACCCATAGCTAGGAGAAGAGGTTTCATATCGTTCCCAAGGGTATTAGCACATAAGTGAATGCAATGGATTCGACTGCAATTCGAACTCGGCTCTTCGCGTAGTCAATCCGAGCCGCTATCCATTACACCACCGTATATAAGCGTAGGTTCTCAGTAGTGTATTCTCACGCACCTCTCGCTTATGGAACCCCTTTTCATGTATTTGCTTTCAAGTTGAAATATCTACATGTAACTGTAAGTTCAATGATAGCAGGCTATTCCGTCGCACATTTCGCTTATGTAACACTCATTTTTGATCGTTGAAATGTCTACATGTAATTGCAAGTTTTATGATAGAAGTTTATTCTCTCACACTTCTCGCTTATAGACTTCTCTTTCAGGTACTTTCTTTCCAGTGTGTTGTAATGCTTATATGTAAACGTAAGTTAAATGATAACTATTTATTCTCGCGCACTTTTAGAATTCTATTTCTGATGTCATTGCTTTCATGTTTTTCAAAATGTCTATATGTAACTGTAACCGGAGGTTTTCAGTTAGCAGTTTATTCTCACGCCCCTCTCGCTTATGGGACACCCTCTCACGTATTTGCCTTCCAATCTGTTGAAATTTCTACATGGAACCGTAACTTCAACGATAGCAGTCTATTCAGTCGAAGTTCTCGCTTATTTAACTCTCATTTCTGACTGTTGAAATATCTACATGTAATTGCAAGTTTTATGATAGCAGTTTATTTTCACGCACATCTCGCTTAGGGAACACATTTTCATGTATTTGCTTTCAAGTCTTTTGAAATATCTACATCTAACCGTAAGTTCAATGTTAGCAGTCTATTTAGTCGAACGTCTCGCTTATGTAACTCTCATTTCTGACTGTTGAAATGTCTACATGTAATTGCAACTTCTATGATAGCAGTTTATTCTCTCGTACTTCTCGATTATGGATGTCTTTTTCAGGTACTTGCTTTCCAGTCTGTGGAAATGTCTACACATAACCGGAGATTCTGTGATAGTTCTTCTCGCTTATGGCAGTCTCATTCCAGACCTTGCATTGCAGTCTGGTGAAATATCTGGAATAACCGTAAGTTCTCTGCGAGCAGCTTATTCTTACGTATTTCTCGATTATTGACTTTGCTCTCCTGTATTGCCTTCCTGTATTTTTAATGTCTACATATAACCATAAATAATTTCTCTGCTTGCAGTTTATTCTCACGCACATTTTGCTTATGAGAATCGCTTTCATGTAGTGTTTTCCAGTCTGTTGTAATGCTATATGTAAGTCGGTGCAGTTTATTTTTCGCTAAGAAGAATATTCATTCGGGCCCTTGCTTCCTAGTCTATTGAAATGTATTCATATAACCGTAGGTACTCTGCCAGCATTTCGTTCTCGTTCACTTCTCGATTATGGAACTCTCTTTCATGTACTTGTTCCAGTCCGTGGAAACATCTACATATAAGCGAGACCAGTTTATTCTGTAGCACATCTCGTTCATGGACCTTTCTTTCAGGTACTTGCACTCTATTGAAATATCTACATATAACTTTAATTTCTATGCAAGCAGTGTATCTTCGTTCACTTCTCTCTAATGAATCTGCCTTTCCAGTCTCTTGAAATGTCCCACATGTAACCCTGAGTTCTATGCTACCAGTTTATTTTTGTGCAATTCGTCCTTATGGAATTTTCTTGCAGGTACTTTTAATGTGTCTACATGCGACGGTAAGTTATATGCTGGCCGTTTATTCTATCGCCCTTCTCGATTATGGGGCTTACTTTAGAGACTTGCTTTCCAGCGTGTTGAAACGTCCCACATCTAACCGTAAATTCTACGCTAGCTGTTTATACTCCCTCACTACTCGTTTAGGAAAAAGCTCTTTCTGGTACGTGCTTTTCAGTTAACGTCCATCTTCAAAAATTTAAATGTAATGTCAATCGTTATCTTTTGTCTCTATAATTCCTGTACTTGTATTATTTTTACTCCTTAATACAGTTATCCTGTTTTTACATATTCTTCCATTCTCAGTCCCCACCCCCGCTTGTGCCTTAGGGTGTTTATTGCCTTGCTTGAGTTGAAATGATTTGAAATGTCTAATATTTAATGAAATAAGTAAGCAATCTGAAAAAAATAGAGTTTTCAAGAAAACAGGTTTCTCGTGTCTAGTAGGTGTTGTCGCTCTTTCCAGCATCGATGGTTGATTCCTTCATTACATTTTATTTAAGGTGGTGTAGAATGCTAGAGTCTTATGTCATTATAATGTCAATGTTCTCTGCCACTTCTGAAAATGATTTCCACAATATTAAAAAAAATATATTTTATTCGCGTCCAACACACAAGTCTTTTTCCGCGATCACCTTGGTAATATTTAATCGATATATAATTCTTTCATAATATTCTGTTCTCGCTAGTTGATGTTTCAATACAGTATTCACACACACACGCAAACATATCTATCTATCTATCTATCTATCTATCTATCTATCTATATATATATATATATATATATATATATATATGTGTGTTCATTTATCTTGCGCATACGCATAGTTTCTGAAAGATAGCTGACACTATTCAGGAGAATTAAGTTTAATTTTTTATTACTATTCATATTCTTTTTCATATTGAGCACAACCATTGCAAACACGGTTTGTTTAAAAAGCTTAGTGCACAGTAATACTATGGTTGACCTTTTTCTTGTTTGTGAAACGTAGTCAATACAATTTTAAAGATAGAACAAATTTAAAATGTAGATGATGTCAGTAATTAACTTATATCATGTAAAGTAGTTTAAAATGGATATAAATTAATATAACTAATTTCAATGTAAATAAATTCAATAGATTTTATCTTTTACTCCTGACGAGAGGGTGCTTTTCAGTGAAACTCCGAATCAGAAGTCATTGAACTTGTTATCCATCTTTGCTAGGGAAATTTTAGGAACTAATTCAATCGTGCCAGCATTTAAATCCCTTTTTATGCATCGGTGCCATCTTATGCTTAGAATGACGTAAGTAATTTCATGCGCTGTTTAATATGTTTATTGGTATGCAACAAAAAGTCAGCTTCCGACTTCTGTACCATTTTTAATATATTAACTTAATTTCCTTGTACTTTTATCGCACGCTTTGCATTTTTATTGTTTTACTCCTTAACTTCATCAAAAGTGATTTTTTCTACCCGAACGATATTCTTTTTTTTTTTTTTTTTTGGACAACGGGGGATAATTTTTCCTTTGTTATCGGCTTTTGTCTTTCGTTCTTTTTTTTTTTTTTCTAAGAGTTGCTTTCAGGAAATTTTCCTTGATTTCTTTTTACTTGCCTCCCACGTTTGATTTTATGTCCTTGATAATCTGATCTTGATGTTCAGTGTTGATAAAAAATATTGATGCATTGCACGTGTTTTGCCTTGAACTTTTATTTGATCTCTGATTCTTTAACTTTGGATAAATTGTTACGGTTCTTGAATTTTCGTGCCCAGGTTGCAATGTTTCCACGATCAGTCTTAATTCTCTTACGCTCTCCCGCTCTCTCTTTGTCTTTACACTCTATCGTCTTCCATTGAGATTTTATTCTCCCCTAGTTATCTAGTATCTATATATCTATCTATCTATGCCATGTTTCATATCTATCTATCTATCTATCTATCTATCTATCTATCTATCTATCTATCTATCTATCCCAGTCTGTTCAAATCTAGAAGTCTGTCTATTTTTGCCTGTTTCTATCTATCTATCTATCTATCTATCTATCTATCTCAGTCTGTTCAAATCTAGAAGTCTGTCTACTTTTGCCTGTTTCTATCTCTCTCTCTCTCTCTCTCCCTATCTATCTATCTATCTATCTATCTATCTATCTATCTATCTATCTATCTATCTATCTACTGGACTTAAAATATGAGCAACGAGGCAGTTTTATATAAATTTTAACAAACCAATTGCTCATATTTAAAATCAGAAAAATATAGTTGAAGTTTCTGGGACGCATAATGAGAAAAGACGGCTTATAAACTTAAACACACATAGGACAATGAAGTCAGGAAATAGAGAGAGAATCAGCGAGTAACCCACTTAAAGCGTTTGTGTGAATGTAGCTCTGAGGCGAGACGAAGAGACATGGTAAAGAGACAAACGTTACTACGTGCTAAAAGCGACAGGAACATGCGGTGAGGTAGCATCACACACCTACTCAAAAGAACACTGGCACATAAAAGGAATTTATATATTATTCCATTCATATACTTCATTTGCTGATGATATATCTCTGTGATTTTCAGTCTATCACTCATTTTTTAAAAATCGGTCTGTTCATACATACATGCGACTGAACTTAGTTTTTATTTTCTACATATATCTGCCACACTGCTCGCCGATCTTTTGCACAGGAGTAGAGGTTTATTCTTCGATTCCTGTTTAGGATTGTGTTTTGAGTTCCTTCTAACGTCTTTTTATTTTATTTTTTACTCCCAGCCTTCCCTTGTGTCCAAGTGGCATTATCGTCTTGTTTGCGGTGAATTGACCAAAAAAAGTCTCTATCTATCTATCTATCTATCTATCTATCTATCTATCTATCTATCTATCGCCGTCTGAAAAAGCAAAATGATGGGAAGATTGTCTTCGGTTAGAAGAGTCAGCATTTCATTAAATTGGTACCAATTTCTCTCCGTCCTGGGTATGACGATAAACTACATCCACGTCCTGGGTAAGACGATAAACTTCATCCAACGGCATGGAGGTTTTGAGGATTGTGGAACCACCTCTTAATTACTGGTGTTCCCAGGTCCACCTTGATCCGGGGTGGTAGTACCTGTTAGGGTCCCAGCTATGGGAAAATAGTTACTAAACTGGGGGTCAAAACACTATGAAAGTGTAAAAATATGTTTTAATATAAGAAATACATTAAAAAAAAAATTATTGCCAGCAATACATTTTTGAAGAAAAAATATTACCAAAAATAGATTTATGATGGAAAAGAAAATATTACCAACAACAAAAATTTTATTGGCCTTAAATAACCCATTGAGATTGATATGACGTAAAACAAATCAAACCAAATTAAACCAATTTCTCTCATTTGAAAATCTGAAGTTAGGTAATGCTCTACCTTTTGCAGACAATATCTTATATTATGGGCAATATCTTATATTATGGGCAATATCTTATATTATGGGCAATATGCAAATTATCTATCGTATCATTTAGCTTCAGTTTCTGTATATTTATTGTGACTTAACCTTCATTGTCAGTATTTCGCACACAGTAAAAGTTCCATCTTCCACATTTTTATTTTTATTTCAATAGTGCAGACACGGTGAGGCAGGACCGAGTAATGGATAGCGGCCCGGGTTGAGGAATTGGATGAACCGAGTTTGAATTCCAGTGCTAATATTCTTCGAAAAGGTATGAATCCTTTTCTTCTCCCCCAGCTATGGGTAAATAACCGGGTTATGGCAACTGGATGGCAACTGGTCTGCCGCAGAAAGAAATGGCAACCTACTGCGGGAAAAATCTGTTTCGTCAGTCATATATTGAAAGATACATGATCGCCTAAGCGTGTATCATGCATGGCAAATAACTGACTGATTACTTGTATGTATGACGAGTTCGAATACCAGTCGAATCCATGATACACACTTGCGTACTATTACCCTTAGAAAATGTATGAATCCTCTTCTTTCCCACCAGCTATGGGTAAATAGCAGGACATAACGGGTTCTATAGCCTTGGATGGCAACTGGTCTACCGCAGAAAGAAATGGCAGCCTACTGCGAGAAAAATCTGCCTCGTCAGTCATGTATCGAAAGATATCACGATCGCCTAAGCGTGTATCACATAATTAGCTGAGTGCAGACACAGAGAGCAGCACTGCACGAGAATTAGGAGTTTCACGTTTTAAGCAATCGTCTCGTCTACTTATATGTCCGTATAGTCTGTTCCTCATATTGACCACATTTAAATATAGTAGATTCTAAACGGTATATAAGCAAGACCCTCCTGGGTATGACGTTAAACTACATCCGTGTTCTAGGTAAGACGATAAACAACATCCAACAGTAAAGCCTCTGACCAGGAGGTTTTGAGGAGCGTTGAACCATCTCTTAATTGCTGGTGTTCTCAGGTTCACTCTGACCCGGGTTGATAGCACCTGTTAGGGCCGCAGAACTGGGGTGAAAACACTATGGAAGTATAAAAATAGTTTTAATACCAGAAATACAATGTAAAAATTATTACCAGCAAGACATTTCTGAAGAAAATTATTACCAGCAATACATTTTGGATAAAAAATATATTAACAGCAATAAAAATCTTGCCGGCATTAAATAACCCATTAAGACTGATATGCCGTAAACCAAACCAAACCAAACCAAACCAAACCAAACATATATAAGCAAGACATTAAAGCCACTAAGACGCAAGGGGCTATTGAGTGTGAAAGAATATGTGAAAAAATTACTAAGGAAAGAATACAATTTATTGTATTCTTTCCTTAGTAATTTTTTCACATGTTAAGAACACGAATTAAGAAGAATGAACATAACAATTGACATTCCATTTAAATATTTGAAGATCAAAGTTGACTGCAAAGCAAGAAGCTAGAAAATAGTTCCATAAGCGGGAAGTGCACCATAAGAAATTGTTATAACTTATGGTTACATCTAGCCATTTAAACTATAAAATGTTAAGACCTAGCTACCAATTATGGTATTTAGAGCCTTTAAATTTATCACCAAATTCACGAATCAACACCTTAATCTACTTAGCCTTATGGATTAATCCGTTGGTTCGTGAATTTGGTATCATGTGTGTTCAATCCTTTGCCAAGGTAGAGTGTATCTGGACATTAACTAAGAACAAGAATCGATATCTCTAGATATGCTCAGTGGAATGCAGATCGAATAAAAGGTTCAATTCAAGGTTCTTTGAAGGGTGTGATAATAACAACAAAAATGAGGACAATAGCTCACAATTAATAATGTAAATAAATATTAGAAGGGTATTGTGCATTCTGAACTCCTGCAAAATCAGACGTTGAATTCAGATAAGTACTGCAAAAGAAGTGAATGTTTAAATTGATTTGGCCACTCGGGACAATGTCAGAGACGGCAAGAATTCGGCACAGGTTGGTAGGGGTATTCTACAACAGAATTACTATAACTACCTGAACTTCCAGCTTCGGATTAACATTTACTTCGATACAGAGAATATGTACAACTAGGTCCCAACATGTCGTACAGAAACAGAATCTACATGAATACAATGGTTTTATATGTACTTTGAAGGATACAAATAAATTTAAAAAAAAATTCTCTTGACCACATCATTGGAAAAAATAGCAATGGTAATATTAGCCGTTTCCGTATAAGGAAATATTTCGCATTCATTGACCGAGCAGACAGTACTACTGCCGATTGAAATTTATAAAATGTTTCACTTGTAACAATTTTTCAGGAAAATAGATTCATCAAGTCCAGTAGCTGTTAGTGATTTTCCCAGTGAAAGGAACACTTTTATTTGTAAGGAAAATCAACCGCTAATTTAACGACATAATTCAGTCGAATTTCAATTTTTACAAATAATCATAGAGATGCGATTTGGGAATGATGCCAAATATGGCGCATTTTTTCAAGTTATCTCATCACTCGCTCGATTTAACACTCGTTGTCTGGGCAGTCATTTCAACAGTTGTTGGAGATTATCAACAAATTCCTTAAAGATTTTCATCAAATCAGAAACAGAACCATTGAATAACGAGGAAATAGACTATGTAGATAAAAAGTGTATACATGTTTCCAAAAATAAGAGAAATATGTTGATGACCGAATAACACTTTTAGCAATTAATGCGAATAAATGGTTTTATGAAGAATTAACGAAGTCTTTCAATACAAACCTAATATTTATCACATTAAAATTCTCATCACCATATCCGGCACATACACTGAGAGATGGACTGCAGTATATATATATATATATATATATATATATATATATATATATATATATATATATATATATATATATATATATATATATATATATATATATATATATATTAGGGAAGGAAAGAAAGAGAGGAAAGAACGGCAAAACATCAATTTCAAGAAGTCAGAATGGCAGAATCTCATCAAAAGGAACACCCTAACATGCACATTACAAATTGGAAATACTAAATTCAAACACGTATAAGAATTTACATATCTGTGAAGTGTCTTAACAAAGCAATGGAAAGCGCGACACTGAAATCCGTTAGCGAACTGGGAACGCAAAAGATTCTTTCCAAAACTTAAAAAACGTATCAAGAAACAAGAAAATGTTATAAACAAAGAAAAGAGTACCGAACTCTTATGTAATACCAGTCGACCTATATGCCATTGAATGCTAAACAATCTCCTTACAGATGAAGAAAAGGCCTGAAGCAACAGAAACAAAGAAAAGATTACTGAACTGTTATGTAATATCAGTCGACCTATATGCCAGTGAATGATGGACAATCTCCTTACAGATGAAGAAAAGGCTTGAAGCAACAGAAACAAAGAAAAGAGTACTGAACTGTTATGTAATACCAGTCGACCTATATGCCATTGAATGCTAAACAATCTCCCCACAGATGAAGAAAAGGCCTGAAGCAACAGAAACAAAGAAAAGATTACTGAACTGTTATGTAATATCAGTCGACCTATATGCCAGTGAATGATGGACAATCTCCTTACAGATGAAGAAAAGGCTTGAAGCAACAGAAACAAAGAAAAAGAGTACTGAACTGTTATGTAATACCAGTCGACCTATATGCCATTGAATGCTAAACAATCTCCTTACAGATGAAGAAAAGGCCTGAAGCAACAGAAACAAAGAAAAGATTACTGAACTGTTATGTAATATCAGTCGACCTATATGCCAGTGAATGATGGACAATCTCCTTACAGATGAAGAAAAGGCTTGAAGCAACAGAAACAAAGAAAAGAGTACTGAACTGTTATGTAATACCAGTCGACCTATATGCCATTGAATGCTAAACAATCTCCTTACAGATGAAGAAAAGGCCTGAAGCAACAGAAACAAAGAAAAGATTACTGAACTGTTATGTAATATCAGTCGACCTATATGCCAGTGAATGATGGACAATCTCCTTACAGATGAAGAAAAGGCTTGAAGCAACAGAAACAAAGAAAAGAGTACTGAACTGTTACGTAATATCAGTCGACCTATATGCCATTGAATGTTAAACAATCTCCTTACAGATGAAGAAAAGGCTTGAAGCAACAGAAACAAAGAAAAGTGTACTGAACTGTTACGTAATATCAGTCGACCTATATGCCAGTGAATGATGGACAATCTCCTTACAGATGAAGAAAAGGCTTGAAGCAACAGAAACAAAGAAAAGTGTACTGAACTGTTACGTAATATCAGTCGACCTATATGCCAGTGAATGATGGACAATCTCCTTACAGGTGAAGAAAAGGCTTGAAGCAACAGAAACAAAGAAAAGAGTACTGAACTGTTACGTAATATCAGTCGACCTATATGCCAGTGAATGATGGACAATCTCCTTACAGGTGAAGAAAAGGCTTGAAGCAAATAGAAACAAAGAAAAGTGTACTGAACTGTTACGTAATATCAGTCGACCTATATGCCAGTGAATGATGGACAATCTCCTTACAGGTGAAGAAAAGGCTTGAAGTAACAGAAACAAAGAAAAGTGTACTGAACTGTTACGTAATATGAGTCGTCTTATATGGCAGTCAATGCTGGACAATCTCTTCAAAGATGAAAATATAAATGTGATTCTACACATGGATGCTGCGGATACCATGGACCGAATATGAGAGCAACAACGAAGTTTTAGAGGAAATGCATACAAAAAGGAAACTTATACTTAACATCACAGAGAGACATCTGAAATTTCTACAGTAGATAATATGGAAAGGCGGCCTAGAAAATTTGATACACCCAGGACAGATTGAGAGCAAGTGTGACAGAAGAAAACAAGGCATCACGTACCTAAAGAGCTTAAGTAAATGAATAATAGAATAGGGTTTAGGTGATATAACAAAAATATAACATTTATTAAGCGTTGCAAGGAAAATTGTGGCGATTCATGATTGCCAACGCACTAAATGCACACGCGCACACACACATATACATATATATGTTCATGTGTGTGTATTTCTTCAACCGTTATTTTTAGTGATACCCGTGTTTTAATAGACGACCCGTTTTTTAATTTTATTGTGCATAAACAAGTGTAAAGTTCATTGTCGGTTGATTTAATCAAACTTGTTTGATGAAATATTTCAATTCACACACATATATATATATATATATATATATATATATATATATATATATATATATATATATATATATATATATATATAAATAAGTTTGATATATTTCATCCAAATAATAATGATTATATATATATATATATATATATATATATATATATATATATATATATATATATATATATATATATATATATATATATATATATATATATATATATATATATATATATATATATATATATATATATATATATATATATATATATATATATATATATATATATATATATATATATATATATATATATATATATATATATATATATATATATATATATATCTGAGATGAGGTGGGTATTATGTACACATGGCGCGGTAGATAAAGGCGTTAGTTAGATACAGTGACAAGACCCAAAAAGAGAGTGAGTTCAATACCCGGCTAAGGCAGGGAGAATTTTAAGAGAGAAATTAACAGGAGATAACTGATAACTGGCACGTGGAACTAGAACAGTCTACCACAGTGAGCGAAATAAAAGGTTCAGTTCGACATTCCAACCACCTGAAGAAGGTCGGAGCGTACAACGGCCGAAACGTTGTAATAAATATGGCGACAATTTATATATATATATATATATATATATATATATATATATATATACAAAACCTTCATCTAGGGACATCCCATCGATGAACTTCGGATGCACGGACAAACCTGCAGGCAGGCAAAATAAAAAAAAAAATCTGTAGGAAAAAAAATGTTCAAATCGTCAGCCATGCATTTCAAAATTTGTGGGTTTAGCGGAACGAGTCGTATTAGTTCTCAAATTGACCGATTGGCGGCGGTGGCGGGCTTTTCAATTGTAACAAAGATGGGTGTATAGTATATAAAGTATGATACATTAGCGAGTTCGTGAGAAAGTAGCCGAGAGAAATCTAATATTTTTGTCGTTTTTGATTAATATATCTATATTAAGTACATATACATAAATACATACATACATACACACACACACACACATATATATATATATATATAGATTATATTAGTGGTCTATATATATATATATATATATATATATATATATATATAAAAAACCCCAAGACAGTATTGAAAAACTCCAGGACAGAAATGGATATAAAAAAGGCTCAAACACTAATATTCAATGGTTATAATTTATTACATTGGAATCGTAATCACGATCTAAATCATGTCCAATTTCTTTTCGAATTTATAGGTCTGATGATTGTATCGTGATTACGATTACAATGTAATAAATTATAAATCCATGGAATATTAGTGTTTGAGCCTTTTATATTTCATATATATATATATATATATATATATATATATATATATATATATAATCGCTTTTGGATATTTTATTAGCCATTATCAAGGATGTTTTTATTTTTCATATTTAACTGAATGTGTAGATTTGATATCTGTTTAGAATGTTGGGAACATTTCTTTTACAAACATGGTCAGCATATTGTGGCCCTGTTCATAGTTGATGTTATTCAGTGACGCATTTTTCTTTTTTATTAGTAATAGTTTCATTAGTTTTCAATTTTTTTACATGTGGATGAGGCTATTATACTTGTATCTTCTTCAAGTATGTTGCGAAAGGCGTTTGGTAGATTTTCGTATGTGTTTGAATGAGTTCTAGTTGAATTATGATCAGAGAGGTGTAAAGTCAGTCTTCTAGATAGGTATGCAGTTGTATGTCTAATATGTAGAACATTTGGCCAGTTTTTACACACTTTTTGTCCAGAAAAGAAATCATTTATACGAACAGAGGAAAAATTGGTAACAAGCTTATTCTTAGTCGTCTTTAATGAAACTTATATATATATATATATATATATATATATATATATATATATATATATAATCATTCACAGACAGTACTGTATCACAGCTCTTCAATACGACTAGACAACCGAATGCCTCAAGCAAACCAACCGATTTAGTGCCAGTCAAAGTTACTACCACTGAGTTATCTTCATTCGACAGAGTGAGGCAGCTAAATCTAGCGTATTGTTTTTACAAATGTAAACAAATGTCAATATATATATATATATATATATATATAAGGTGAGATTTGTAAATTGTCGCCATTTTATATTTTTAATTTTGCGCATGTGTGTTGTTTGTTATTTTGCCGACTGCACAGTACTGTAGGGACAGCTGGGTACCGTCTGTGAAAAAATGAACACCATGACGCAAAACATTCCGCCAGAAATTGGGAAACAGCATGCATTACTTCTTGGCATTCGCACCCGAATCTCTAATACGAACATTTCAGAGAGTCTGTGTACCAATCTACGGGCAGTGCGGAGGATTCGGTGAGAGTTAGATGAGTCTAATTGTGATTACATCAAGTGACTTTAGCAGGTATTGTACCCCTAGATCAAATTTGTGGCTGCTAGAAGACCCTATGTCTGACAACAGGACTCTGCACCATGCCACGCAAGCAGGAGAACCCAGTCATGGCTGTCAGACAATTTCTGCTATCACATCACCCCTTACATCTGGTCACCTAACTGCCAAACCTGTAACCCCCTTGATTATTATGTATGAGGAACAGTTGAGCGAGAGACCAACAAAACTCTTTGTAACATCAAAAATGAACTCAAGGCAAGGATTATGGCATATTACATCAATATATACAAGGATACCACCCAGAAGAGATGCAGGAGATTCCGAAGTCGTCTATATGACGTGGTTGAAGCCGATGACGATTTTATTGAATGAATTTACACTTTAGTATTTCAATATATTTTGATGTAATTTTGGTAAATATATCTGCTAAAATGAGGTGTCAGTGTTATTTTTTATTTTGCGTCGTTTAGACGACAATTTATGCATCGTACCTCCTATATTTACATATAATTACTTCCCCGTCTTTCGACATTGGGGAATACATTTAATGAAGTCCATTTCCAAGGTGACTGAGATATTATCAAAGATTCGTTTCTCACTCACGTCCGTTTATTCTGCTTTTTTTTTCTTCCACTTCTGCTAGAATTCATAACGACAATCTCGCTTCATCCATTGTTCGATCAAAATTTTTCGCTTATTTTATATTTGATTATTTTGTTATATATTCCCTGTCGATTTGCCAGCAGTGGTGGTGGGGGTAGTGGGAACTTATCTCTTTTACAAATCAGACGCGCACATTTACAGCATCTTTTTTTTTCCCGCCCCCAAACATATCTTTAACCGTTATTACATTTCGTTGTTGATTTTGTCAAGATTTACAAGGCGGAGTGGGGATTTGATTCTTTTTCTTCACTTATTCTTTTTATATTGCGATTTCATTTTTAAAGATTTTTCTATCATTTTACCGTAAGCAACTTTTGATTGTTTTTTTTTTCTCCTCTTTTAATACGCATCATTTGGTCCGTTCAGTTCACAAGAAAGCTAAATATCGTATTTTCACTTTTCTTCCTTTCTTTTTTCTATTTCTTTCTTTCTTTCTTTCTTTCTTTCATTCTGTATCTTTCTTTCTTTCTTTTTTTCTTTCTCTTTCTTTATATCTTTATCTTTCTTTCTTTTATTCTGTATCTTTCTTTATCTTTCTTTCATTCTGTATCTTTCTTTCTTTCTTTTTTTCTTTCTCTTTCTTTATATCTTTATCTTTCTTTCTTTTATTCTGTATCTTTCTTTATCTTTCTTTCTTTCTTTCTTTATTTATTTATTTCTCTTTCTTCTTTCTTTATCTTTCTTTCATTCTGTATCTTTCTTTCTTTCTTTTTTCTTTCTCTTTCTTTTTTCTTTCTTTATTTTTCTTTCTTTCTGTATCATTCTTTATTTTTATTTATCTATTCATTTCTCTTTTTCTTTCTTTCTTTCTTTCTTTCTTTCTTTCTTTCTGTATCTTTCTTTCTCTCTCTCTTTATCTTTCTTTCTTTCTTTCTTTTTTCTTTCTCTTTCTTTTCTCCTTCTTTGTCTGTTTGTTTGTTTCTTTCTTTCTTTATCTTTCTTTCTTTCTTTCTTTATCTTTCTTTCTTTCTTTCTTTCAACCGTCTTCTTTCTGCTTTTTATTCTCTTTTATTTTTGGTATAAGACATAAAGAAATGAGGCTGCGCGGGCGGTGCGTTTCACCAATGCCGAAAGAACCAGAGACATGTTGTTAAATAATCTTGTCAAATCGAGGCCTTCGTATGAATGGCGTCAAACTCGTGCAGAAATCTCTAAACACTCAGTTGAATACAATTTCCTTCTCAGATCGATGATTAAAAATGACTTCATGGGAATGAAGCCGTAGAACTTACCGAAGATTTTTTACAGTGATGTTCACCCTGTACAAGGTCCAAGAGCCTCTCAAGGTAGAAGGTTACAGTGTATGAGGCATAGTTTATAAGGATATGTTGAAAAGATAATGGTTAAACGTAAACTTGAACATATTATGATTGTAGCGCTCAGGTTAGCATCAACTTGGAAGTCGGTTCCATAAAACAGCGGTTCTTGGAAAGAAGCTGAACGAGTGGAACTTACATCTTACCAATGCGATACGAAGAGAATGAGCTTGGTTCGCTACAATGTTGCTGGCATGGCGGGTTTTACCAGTAAAAGTTAGAAATGGTGGAACTAAGGAATTTAGCTAGTCTGAGCACTTTCCGTCGAAATAGCGATCGATCAGTGAAGACTGGTCAACTTTTGCCCACATATGGCAGCAGTAGTCTATTTCCCTATACACCTCTTCAAAAATCGTAGAATGGCGTTACAGAATCACAAACAAACAAACAAACAAAAAAACTTTACCAGAAACCACATCACTTGAAGACATTCAATAGCGGAAACAACTAAAATGTATAGAACATGTAACTCGAAGAGAGAATAATCGACATTTGGTTAAGCAATACTGTGTATTTCAATTTTTCCCATCTATCTATCTATCTATCTATCTATCTATCTATCTATCTATCTATCTATCTTGTTGCATTTAATCTATATATCTATCTTGTTGCATTTAATATATCTTGTATTTATTTAATATATCTATCTATCTATCTATCTATCTATCTTGTTGCATTTAATCTATATATCTATCTTGCTGCATTTAATATATCTTGTATTTAATCTATCTATCTATCTTTTTGCATTTAATCTATATATCTTTCTTGTTGCATTTAATATATCTTGTATTTAATCTATCTATCTGTTTGCATTTAATCTATATATCTATCTTGTTGCATTTAATATATCTTGTATTTATTTAATATCTATCTATCTATCTATCTATCTATCTATCTATCTATCTATCTATCTATCTATTTACTTAACGCACTCGCTATTTCTTATTCTCTCTATATCTACCAACATTTTTTTACCCAAACATTATCTTCCCCCAATATTTCACCATGAAATTTCAATTTTTCTTACCATTCTCTCTCACCCACGCATGCATATTATTCTCCGCCTCTGACTGTCTGTCTTCTATAAGAGTCATCTTTACCTCCCCGCCTAATACAGACTTTTATGCACTCAATGGCATACTAATTAACCTCTCTAATTAAATGCGGGAGTCGAGTCATCCGATTAATAGAGATCTGCTGCTGTCGTTAGTTTGTGAAAAAAAAAAATGTCGCAGGACATTACTTCCTGCTTTTGAATCAGATGTAAAATTATTTCTGAATTTTTACAATAACTTATTTCCCACCATTGACTGCCGGTAAAAATATTATTTGAAAACGGTGTTGCTCTGTTCATTTTCGTTGAGGTTTCCATACAATATTCGCCACAGACATCGCTCGCGCACACACATGGATTTTTCTCTCTCTTCCTATCCATCTATCTCTATACCTCTCACGCACACACACATACAAACTTGCGCGTCTACGCACTCATAAATCTACTTACATTAGCAGTAAGCAGGTACGGATTAAAGCACTCATGTACGTTAAAAAGTACGCGCACACACACACAACACAAACACACGCACTTGCGCGTTCACGCACTCACAAATCTAAGCACATACAGACGGACAGATTCACACTGACACGTACACACATGTAAGTGGATACACACTTACGCACACACGTACGTAAAAAAAGCACACACACACATGCATATATATATATATATATATATATATATATATATATATATATAATTGTTTTGTTTAAAAATTATAACATAATTTTAAAATTAATAATTATATCTGCTCTACTCTGTATTGAGCACTCTTTTAAGAACAGTAATTGTTGGTTATTGGAATTTATTCCGTATACACAATCCTATACTTATATATATATATATATATATATATATATATATATATATATATAAATATATATACAAATTAACAAGAAGTTTTGAGAATTACTCAGGAGATAAATTTCAATTTATTTTAGAACAACAATAAAAAACGATAATTTTCTGTTATGATGTTGATTTGGGGTTGATAAAGACAAACGACAAATAACACGTAACAATAAAAAGGGGTTTATTCGGTTGGTAAGTAGGTACAGAAATCACCTGAGTAGTCTATAACTAGCTCAGCCAAGAACTTCTCCGACTCTGTCTGTCTTTTGACATGCCACTATTTAACGTCTTTGTTTGTAGACAAGTTCACCTTCAAGAGAGGTGGTAGGTTTCCTACACAACATTTTCAAAGTTGTTGTGGCCTGTTAGGGGCCAGAAAGAAAGACACGGAAAGAAAAAGGTAGGTTGAACAAGTGTATTGAAATAACATATATATATATATATACAACGTAAGAGTGTTATGATTCAGCAGATAGCAGTGTCCGTCTGAACTGTCAGGTTACAGTGCGTCCCGACTGCCCTCTTAGGAAGTATCGCAAGTTAGTATTTATGGAGAAGGAAGAGTTCATTCTAATGTAGATAGGTCACCATAACAAAAATAGGTTCCTTCTAGCGATCCAGTCATTTATTGAAGGCCCACTCGCATTCCTCGAAACAAAAGGTATCCAGGTACCTTGTATCACCCCTTTCATCTCCTTCAAAATGTTTCTCATTCAGCTTATGGAAGATCCAGTAATCGTTTAGTGCCAGTTCCAGACCGTAGAGAGAGTGAGAGACAGTCTTGATGTACATCTCGGTTAAGTAGCTGGTCATCAGGTTGGATAAGTGGCAGAGTACCCTGCCCTGATGCATATGTCTCTGGCCAGATGTGAAGAGTTCTGGCATTTTGCAACGAGATGTCTTTCCAAAGGACCTCAGAACCTCCACATATTATAATTTGTTGACCGTCTGGCCGTGTGAACTCAGAATCTGTTTAGTATGATAACTGCTGTTAATTCCACAAATGCCACAGTTTATAGGCACATTCTAAAAAATCAAAGCCTGCCAGTTGTGTCCTCCTTTTTGAGCTAGCTCTAACACCTCAACTGGGATGTGACTGCTAAGTTTCAGTATCTTCAAAACCAAACTAGTAACGTTTCATCATCACCGAAAGGACACTGAATTTTATCCTGTCACAATCAACAGTTCTGTTCTGAATGATGTTCTTTGCTTTGAACGTTTTTTTGGGAATCAACTTCCCCCACCCAGACCACAGGTGGAACACGTATATACCATCCATTGCTGCAGAATGTATCTGACATCTCCTAGAATGCTTTATCGTTACAAGAGTCATATTAAAGAAAAATGGAACACTGAAGCCATATCTGGGGCTGGGGCTATCCAATCCTCATTTTTCAGATTTCAGTATCGTTTACGTGACCCCGTTGGTGATTAATTAATTTCCACCCCATTTCACACAGACAAAAGGTCAAAACCCACTCGATAAAATATGGCTTTTCCATAGAAAATGTTCTGAGCTACATTCTTTAGTTTTATCTGTTCAAACCTTCACAGCTAAGAATCTCCTTGCCACGTACACAGGTTCGATTCATCAGCATTCCCTCGGTATTCTATTGATAAAAAGAAGTTTCCATTCTGACAACTTTACAAAAACCACTACATTGTGGAGCGAAATCCCGAAAGAATGCCTATTTGATCATTATGCAATATTAACCTTTCCAAGTTTGGGATCAGCTGTTATATAACCTCATTGAATAACATAATTTGAGTGGCTCTTGGGCCTTGTATCTGGAGAAAAACCGTAAAAGAATCAAAACCTGTTACCTTTATCTTAGCTGTTTTTATACTATTGACATTTCGACTGCTGTGCTCTTCAGGATTCGTCAGGTGCTTCAGGATTTGTACGCTGTTTTTGCCTATTCTGCTCGATTAAATACGAGGTGGGGTAGCGAGAGAGAGAAAGAGAGAGAGAAGGGAGGAAATAAGTATATCGGAGAAAGTGTGTCCTCTTTATTAATTTTCATAATGAATTATGTGGACGATCATAAATCTTCACATCTTCAAGTTCCTTATAGCTGTAAAGCAACTTTTGATACTTTACCATCTCTCTTTGTCGTTGTTCTGTCATCCATACTCACAAAGTCATTAGATAAACTACTCGCTGTTTCTCGTACTGTACATTCACTACAGACCAATAGCTAGAGTTCATATTCTGCAGCTATTTAACGTGGAGCTTGTCTTTTTCACAGATGTGAAATTGTTTCTGCTTTTCTCCTCCATAATTATACAGTATGTATTAGATTATCCGGACACTTTATGAGACGATTTGTAAAAAACATGTTTGGTTAAATTGAAATTACGGATAAATGAATCGAAATTATCGAAAAAAAAAAAATGAAGGAATAAGTCATATTTGTAAAAGAAATTTAGTTTATATCATCAAATAATATTTTTAGACAATTTGTTCAAGCATTTTTCCAATTAAATTTTTATTGATTTAATTTTATCAAATTTCCGGATAATTGAATACCTAAATTATGGAAAAAAGAGAAATGTCATATTGCTAAAGGACATTTTATTTTTATCATCAAATCAAGTTTTCCTACGATTTGTTCAAGCATTTGTCGAATCAATCTTTTTGCCTGATTTAATTTTATCAAATTTCCGAATAATTGAATATCTAAATTATCAAAAGAAAATGAAGAAATAAGTCAAATTTCTAAAAGAAATTTAATTTATATCATCAAATTACATTTTCAAAGATTTTGTTCAAGCTTTTGTCTCGTTCTTTTTTTTTAATAAAAAATGCCTAAATTTTTGCCTTTTTTCGGCAAACCTCGCGTTTTTCTTTCTCGTCATCCAGAAAATAATTCTGTCGTCATATATTGTGTAATTTGAAAATTACGTGTAAAAGGTGCAATGTGGCCAAAGTTCATTCCTACCGACAGGAGTTAAATGATTTTGCTACGTGCTAGGCAATCAAAAAGACATTCGATTTCCCGTTGAAGCATGATTCATCAGTGTGACGCGTATCTGAGAGTTGCGTAAGCCATGATCTATGGTGTGACCAAGATGTTATAATACAAATGGATGATTTTCATATAAAGGCAACAAATAAATTAACAAGAATTAACTGAATTGATTTTATCAGAGTTTTTTATCAAATATTCAGCATGCTTCTTTTTTTTTTTATTCTCAAAACATTTTTTTTCTGAGATTACATATTAAAATATGGTTATTTCTGATAATTGAAGTTCGGAAAATCGGTCTTAGGAAAAACGAAGTAAGGAATACTAGCAGTTAACACATGTAAAATTTTAGCAAACAGCCTGAAATATAGGCGCTTGTGTAACCATGCCCAGTGACAGATGACATTTCTGAAGAGATCAGGCTGATATAAACAAAGTATACATTAAACATAGTCTAAGGTAAGCCTGTAGGCAAATCGGCGTCTAGGTTTAATCACATGACTGTTGAAAATGCTAAATATAAGCGTAAGTTCTATATCAACAGTTTCTTCTCAAGTAATCTCCCTTGCGGAATTCAGTTCTGACTGCATTGCTTTACTATGATCTACAAAATTCAAACATATAAATGCAAAAAAAAAACGCTTGTCCTTTTCTGTTTCCATGAAATTCTGGTCATTTAATATTTATCTCCCACCTGAATAACGTTTTCACATTTTAATTGTACTCTCAGTAATTCCTTGCGTGTTCATGGCTTTTATCCCTTTGCTTAGGGTGAAATAATATATATATATATATATATATATATATGTGTGTGTGTGTGTGTGTGTGCTTGTGTATAAAACTATGCAGATATTAGGAAAGGACTCGTTAGGTAAATAATCCAAATGTCTTTAGTATTTTTGTTATTATTTTTAAAAAATAGTGCTCGATAAAAAAGTAGAGCATAAATATAATTATTTATTTAAAAATATGATTCCAACGCTTTACATAAGTTCTCATGTTTCAAAACAAGAGCCGAATATCAATATAAATAATTATATTGAAGTTTTCAGCTCTTGTTTTGAAACATGAGAACTCTATATGCGTTAAATCATATTTTAAATAAATAATTATATATATATATATATATATATATATATGATAAAAATAAGGTTTTATGATATGATACATTTATGGGCAAAATATATATATTCCTATGAAGTTATATTTATATCTCATAAGATATTTAAAGCCCCTCGATAAGTTTTCAACTGAATATTTAGAAGCGAATGTAAAATGCAAGACATGTTGAAATTTTATAAAACGTTTATTTTATAGGCATGAGTAATCCAGCATTTTTCCGAAACAATTAAATCTATAAGCTCATATGCGAAATAATTGTCCTTCTCGAAGATGAAGAAGAGACTTGAAGAACAGAAATGCAATTCTACAGAGAGCTGCTGAGGATAACATGGACCGTGTATATGACGGACGAAGAAAAATGGGAACTAAAAGGAAACTTATACTTAACATCAGAAAGAGACAGCTGAAATTCCTAGGGCACATAATGAGGAAAGAGGGCAGGAAAAATCTGATACTCACAGGATAGATTGAAAGCAAGTGGGACAGAGCAAAACAACGAATGACATACTTAGTGAACCCGAGTAAATGGTGGAACAAGGTTTATGAGAAATAATGAAAAGAAACAAATATTAGGAGCTCCGAAGTACAGGAAATTGCGGAGAGCCATAATCGCCTACGTGCAGAAGAGACACGACAGATAAAGAAGAAAACAGAAAATATCCTTAACAAGCTGTTCACTTCTCTCAGGTTATTATTTAACCCATAGCCGGTGCCGATGAGAAGAAACGGGATCATCCCTTTCCCAAGGATATTAATGAGAAAGTGAACGCAACAGGAGTTTTTTTTTTCTTTAATATCAATCTATAGGGTGATCTGAAAGTCTTGTCACCCTTATATAATATAACTTTATATTTCAACGCTCCGTGGGTTGTTATCAAGGAGAGGGTTTCACATAAATGATACCAGAATACCCATTAATTGAAGGACGCCGTTCGGAGAGCCTTTGCAACAATTAGCAAAGCATAGTCTCGTAAAATATCATACAAGCCATGGCGCTGCATCATTTTGTGTCACCAAGATGATGATGTTCCTTCTCGATGTGTTGACAGCGTCAATGAAAGTGAATAAATCCAGGACATGTTCTTTGTATTACTGTATTAATTGTTCTTCTATTGTTCTCATTAAGACTTTCAGACCAGCCTGTATATTTGCCTCTGTGGTTTACAAATAATTTACGATCTTCTGCATACCTGAAAATGTTCAGCATCTTTATTATTTCTTTGACACGCTTTATATCCTTTCTTTTTTTTCTGTTTTCTTTCAGAAACGTTTCCCTCTTCCCCACCTATTTGCATTTACCCCCAACGACCATTCTTCTCAGTCTATCATTCATCTTGAAATTCCTACGTCATCTTAGCGTCACGATTCCCATAATGTTTTGAGCTCCTTTATTTGCACTGTTAACTGCCATTTCTGTTGTTTTATCGATTAAACTTTACTTTTAGCGGGTTGGTGCCACAAAACTAAAGACGACAAAGAAGAAATATGAAAAAAGGTGGTTGCTTGGGAACTGGGGATTAAAATTAAAAATCGGAAAGAAGAAATCAAAATGCTCCAAATGCAAAATGAAGAACTGGAAATATTGTAAAAAAAAAAAAAGAAAAAGAAAGAAAAATAGGATCGAAACCATTAAAATGTGATTACATCATTGCCACCCTGGGGACTAGACGTTCACTGACGCCATAGATAGAGTTCTATTTGTAGCCACAGAATCAAACTTACAATCGCTATTTATGTAGTTATACATCAACTCAATCTTTTCAATGTTTTCTTGGTTATGATGCAAATGTTTTTTCTTACATCAGGGCTTTATTCATGAATTTTATATTTTCCTGAAAAACATTATTTTCAGAGGTTTATTTGCAATTCAGCACCCACTTTTATTCATTTAATCAGTTATTATTCTTTTACTTACCATAAACTGCAGCGTAAGAGTCGCGTTTTCAAGCCTAAAAATATTAGATCGGGTATAAAAATGCAAACCTTTACTATTGCGTTGTAAATAAATCGGTCAGCACTCCTAACATTTGGGCCACTTGTATGTTTGGGGGTCGACCTATATGGTAGGTTTAGTCTTAACTCTAAATTACCGTACTTCTAGCAGGTTATCGCAAATACATCCCACAAAACTTCCGTTTGTGGGACATATTTGGTATATTAACGCATAAATTCATATAACATAACTAACAGCATGGCCCGGCGTTGCCCGTGCTTGATTCAAAAATCGTACGACTCATACAGCAATCGCTATCACTTGACTTAAAATATTTTTGCCCTTCCTTGGCTTTAAATGAGTGCCCTTTGCCGTGCTGATGTTGCTACATGCCTTACTCCATGCCTATCTCACACTGCGAATTTTTTCTAAGCTCTACACTAAACATTAAATCTGTTACGAAAAAAGAACTATACAAAATGAACACAAAACGATCAGCTTTAAAAAAGAACTCGTAACTGGAAAAACCGAATGAAAAAAGAATATTAATAACAAATACATTTTCACACCCAACCCAGTTCTGCGGAATCAGAATCAACGTTGAGTTTAAGCAAGCGAATGAGCCAATTGGAGTAAAGTGCCATGCAGACTTAAATTTTTCCCACATGCAGCTATCGATGTTTTTGCATGCTAGCATGTTAGTTAACATTCGTGTCAGTCAACTGTTGGCTCTCACGCTGGCCAATATAATCTTCCTGCCTATTCGTGGCAGCCAGCTATAGGCTCTCACACTGGCCAGTAGAAAATGGCCGGAAACTACAGGAAAACTGCAGTAGAAGCATGAAAAAATCGATTATTTCCATTATTGATGGAAGTTGGGAAATGCAAAGTCGGTCTTGGCCTTCCCGCTAACTTGGAGCATGTGCATGTAAATTTTGGTGCAAATCCGTCGAAAATTGCGGCCGTGTATTCGTCACACACACACACACACACACACACACACACACACACACACACACACACACACACACACACACACCACACACACACACACACACACACCATACACAACACACACACATATCCTGCCTTTTATAGATAGAGATAAAATAGTAAAACCAATCCAGTATTCTATTAACGCTACAGCACACATGAAAACACTGACTGAATCGCCATTTTATTCAGGCGGCCATTCAGACAACCGTATCGAGAAAATTATTCGAAAATAATTACCCGAAAACATTTATTCGAAAACAATTTTTCGAAAAACATTAATTTGAATTGTAAATTCTTTGAATGAAAAATTATAGTAAATTATAATTATTCGAAATACATATTTTTGAAATACGTATGTGGTCTTGCTTTGTAAGTGTCAATGCTGATTTATCTAGAACTAATAAAACATTGATGGATCACATTTATAGCAGGTGTCATCCCATCATCACACAATATGGTAATTCTTAGACGCTCTTCAAGTAAGAGCATGTTGTCAAAGTATCAAGAGCGTTATGAAAAACCGCGACATGAATAGAAAACTTTTTAAAAAAGTGGCATCTTTTAAAGCGTACTCTTAATTTACATGCAGTATCATATAACTTAGGGTTTAAGACTTATTTCTTACTAAGTTGTTTTATTAACGATATTTTATTTCGAATAATTATCATTTACGTATTTCACCTTAATTTTTACATTTTTATTGTAATAAAGAATTTTGCATTCAGTATATTTGTCTTTTCGATTAATTTCCATTCAAACAATTTGCAATTCGAATAAACGTTTTTCGAATTGTCGTTTTCGAATAAATGTTGTCGAAAAAATATTTTCGAACAATGTTCACATATTGTCAGGCAACTAGGTATTGTATGCATATCGATAGTGTAACGGGCCCACAGTTTTACAATTCGCTGCATGAGGTTGGTGTCACCATTGGTTGTTTGTTTACATCACTGATGCAAATGGGGTATGAGTAATAATGTGATTTACAATAACATACGATACATAGCAGTACTATCAAAAATACCTGATACGATGTGTAAGCTACGGTATTAATATTCCATAGAAGTTGATGTTGAAGTTAATGTGTTTACCAGTAGATCTGAGGAATTTTAAATCTTATACCGATAAATTATACAGTACCAACCGGTGTTTGTTGTAGGTTGCTTGCTCTATATCGTATATATAAAGATATTACTGTTACTGTCTCAGTATACAGGTAAGTCGTGTGACGTTATGTCGTTTTGTCACAGGTTATCGTAAACTATAGCCCAACTTCAGTTACTTGTAGGCCTAACACTCGACCTATACGGTAGGTTTAAGCCTAACTCTGAATTTTGACTTAAAATTCTTCAGGCCGACTTGCATGGCGCAATTTTCTATTGATAAGAACACATTTCCATTCTGACAGCTTTGCAAGAACCTCTACTTTGTGGAATGGACTCCGTTGAGAATGCTTACTCGATCATTTACAGTATTAACCTTTTCATGATTGGGATGAACCGTTATATAACCTCATTCAATAATATTATAATTTGAGTTGATGTTGAGCCTTGGATCTGGTGAACAACTGCAAAAGAATCATGCAGGTTGTTGCATTTATCTTGTTTTTATATTATTGACATTTCGACTCCTTTGCTCTGTGAGATTCTTCAGGCTTTGTATGCTGTTTGTACCGATTCCATCCGATTAAATACGAGGGCGGGGGTACAGACACACACACACACACACACACACACACACACACACACACACACACACAGAGAGAGAGAGAGAGAGAGAGAGAGAGAGAGAGAGAGAGAGAGAGAGAGAGAGAAAGTGTGTTCTCTGTTTATTAATTTTTAAAATGAATTATGTGGACGATCATAAATCTTCCCATCTTCAAATTCCTTATAGCTGTAAAGCAACTTTTGATACTCTACCATCTCTCTTTGTCTTTTCTCTGTCATCTGTACTCACAAACTCATTAGGTAAACTGCTCGCTGTTTCCCGCGAGCTCCATTCAGTAGCTCTTATTACCTACTGTACATTCACTACAGGCCAATAGTTAGACTTCATATTCTGCAGCTATTTAACGCGGAGCTTGTCTTTTTCATAGATGTGAAATTGTTTCTGATTCTGCCCTCTATAATTATACAGTATATATTAGATTATACGGATGCTTTATGAAACGATTTGCAAAAATATGTTTGGTTAATTTGAAATTACGGATAATTGAATAAGTAACTTACCGAAAAAAAAAGAAAGAAAGAAGTCATATTTCTAAAAGAAATTTTAGTTTATATCATCAAATCATATTTTTAAACAATTTGTTCAGGAATTTAATGTGTTTACCAGTATACCCAAGGAATTTTAAATGTTAATATTCGGTACCTACCGGTGTTTGTTGTCGGTTGCTTGCTAGAAAAATCGCATATATAAAGATATTACTGTTAGTGTCTCAATTAAGAATGTCTCGTGAGGTTATGTTGTTCTGACTATAGTCTAATTTCATTTACTGGTAGGCCTAAGATGACTTGCAGCCAACTGTATGTTTGGGGGTCGACCTATACGGTAAGTTTAGGCGTAACTCTCAATTTTGCGCTAAAAGTCTTCAGGCCAAATTGTACGCCGCAGTTTATGGTATTTATTTTGATGTGACATAACCAAACATTTTAGTCCGTCGCTTTCAATGTCACTCCAGTTCATCATAGGAGCTCATCACAGTCTCATCCATGATGTCCTTGGTTGGTTCATATGGAGGTCTCTCTGGCACTATCCATAGTGCATAGTACAAACATTAAAGCATTCTTGAAATATTTACACTGGACAGAGGAGAGCGCTTTAAGAAGAACCGTTGTATTTCTCTGTTTTGGCTGTTTGTCTTCCGACAAACTTCTGCAAATTAATTGAAACAAACGCTTTAGTTTCGTTTCTTTTACCATACATACAGTTTTAGACTCAATTGTGTGACAGGGTGTAATCGATTTCTATTTTCTCATCAGATTAGTTAATTTGAAGTGGTGTGCAGTAATATGAATCTATTTCAGGGTATAGGATGAAATTTGTTTGGCGTTGAAAATATTGCGTCGTCCGATTTTTATCACGTCCAGACACTATTGTCTCGAGTGTCGATTAGTTGTCCTACGACCTTTTCCTGTGAAAGGAACCGTACGAAAATTGTAACGCTGCACGAACACACTGGCAAGCATTACCTGTGAGCAAATCGAAGTACTATAGACTGGCCCGGAAATTCCCCTGATTTAGATCCAAGATTTGAAAATCTGTGGTCAATCTGCAAGGAATGACTTCATGGAATGGACACATGAAACAATAACATGTACACTGGGCTATATTTCATTGGAAAAATCGAAAAGTAAATAATAACGGAATCATTCGTTTAGTTTCAATTAATTTGCACAAGGGTGTACTT